TTTTGGTATATTTTTAGTAAGGCTAATACTGGTTGTTTCTTTCTGTGTGTAATGCCTCTTTCAGAAGCTCTTGTAAAGCAGGCCTGGTGGTAATAAAATCTCTGAGTACTTGCTTGTTCATAAAAGATTTTATTTTTCCTTCAGTTGTGAAGCTTAGTTTGGCTGGATATGAAATTCTGGGCTGAAGGTTCTGTTCTTTGAGGATGTTGAATATTGGCCCCCACTCTCTTCTGGCTTGTAGAGTTTCTGCTGAGAGATCTGCTGTAAGTCTGATAGGCTTGCCTTTGTGGGTAACCTGACCTTTCTCTCTGGCTGCCCTTAGTATTTTCTCCTTGGTTTCAACCCTGGTGAATCTTACGATTATGTGCCTTGGGGTTGCTCTTCTTGAGGAATATCTTTGTGGTGTTCTCTGTATTACCTGGAGTTGAATATTGACCTGCTTTGCTACTTCAGGAAAATTTTCCTGAATAATATCCTGAAGGGTATTTTCCAGCTTGGATTCATTCTCTCCGTGGCATTCAGGTACACCTATCAAACGTAAATTTGGTCTTTTCACATAGTCCCACATTTCTTGGAGACTTGGCTCATTCCTTTTTATCCTTTTATCTCTATTTTTGTCTTCTTGTTTTCTTTCATTAAGTTGGACTTTGACCTCTGTTATCCTTTCTTCTGCTTGAACAATTTGAGTGTTTAAACCTGTGCATACTTCTCAGAGTTCCCGTATTGTATTCTTCAGTTCCATTAATTCACTTACATTCCTCTCTAAGTTGTCTATTCTCAATAGGATTTCGTCAAACCTTTTTTCAAAGTTCCTAGTTTCTTTATGTTGGGCTACAACATGTTCTTTTAACTCACAGAAGTTTCTTATCCATTCCTTGAAGAGTGATTCTGTCATTGGGATGCGCTCGTTCTCCATCAAGCCTTGTTCCATTGTTGATGTAGAACTGTGATCATCTTTAGAGGGAGAGGTGTTCTGATTTTGAGTATTCTCAGCCTTTTTATGCTGGTTTCTTCCCATCATTGTAAATTTATCCTCCTGTCGTCTTTGAAATTACCAACTTTCAGATTAGGTCTCTTGATTGGACGTTCAAGTTGTTAGTTTCCAGGGCCAGAACGGCAGCGTTAAGACTGATGGTGCTTTTCTGCCCAGGATTCTCCTGTCTGGCTTCCTTCTTGTGTCCCTAATGGGCGACTTTGCCTTCCCCGGGCTCCAAACCTCGGTCAGAAGGGGAACCAGTCTCGTTTACTCTGCGCCCAGAGCTGCCGCGCTGAGGTGCCGTCACAGCTGCTGCGCCGGTCTCAGGAGTCATGCTGGGGACCCGTGTGGGTCCTCCAAACCTCGGTCAGAAGGGGAGCCGGCCCTGTTTATGCCGCGCCGAGGTGCCGGCGAAGCCACTGCCTCGGCCACAAGAGTCACGCTGGCGGCCCGTGTGGGTCCTCCAAGCCTCAGTCAGAAGGGGAGCCGGCCCTGTTTACTCTGCTCCGAGAGCCGCCGCACTGAGGTGCTGGCGAAACCGCTGCGCCGGCCCCAAGAGTAGTGCTGGCGACCCGTGTGGTTCCTCCACTGGGAATCTTCTGCTCCGTGAGCGACCAGAATTTGTCTGAAAGTGTGGCGTCCTCTAGTTCTCTGCGCTTTGACTGAGAGCTGCAATCCCGAGCTGTTATCGATCGGCCATCTTGGATCGTTCCTCCTGCTCTAGCATGTACTTTCATCGTTATGACTGCATCAGCACTATTTGCAGTGAGGCCATGTGTTATACTATGACTACTTTTTTCTTCCAGTACTACTTTTGATTTTTCCTTGATGTCAGTAATTGGATTTTTGTCATTGCTTAGGTTTTCTGTGCTTCTCATCAATTTGACCCCAAAATCTCCCCCAATTGTATAAATCTCCTTTCCATATAAACACAATAGGTATTCTATGCATTTCATCTTTTTAAAAGAAAATCTCAAGCTGGGCACGGTGTGGCTCATGCCTGTAATCCCAGCACTTTGGGAGGCCGAGGCAGGTGGATCACCTGAGGTCAGAAGTTCGAGACTTAGCCTGGCCAACATGGTGAAATCCTGTCTCTACTAAAAATACAAAAAAAATTAGCCAGGCATGGTGGTGGGTACCTGTAATCTCAGCTACTTGGGAGGCTGAGGCAGGAGAATCGCTTGAACCCACAGGTGGAGGTTGCAGTGAGCTGAGACCATGCCATTGTACTTCAGCCTGGGCAACAAGAACGAAACTCTGTCTCAAAAAAGAAAAAAGAAAGAAAGAAAATCTCTTCCTGAGCTTTCTGACCTGCTCTAGCCTGGACCCTGGACTGATCACTCTGCAGACCTGCTAAAGAGCTACTGTCTTGGGATCTTCCTTCATTGTCACTCAGGGGACTCCTTCAGCTGTTGCTTCCTACATCCCATGTCATTCCCTTTCTTGGTTTTCTCTGTCATTTTGGTGAAGACATGTTATTCTTAGTTTCTTGAAAAAGTAAATATTTTTTAGTTTGTTTTAGGAATTGTTTTCTGAGATTTTTTGTTTTTTGTTTTTGAGCTGGAGTCTTGCTCTGTCGCCCAGGCTGGAGTGCAGTGGTGCAATTTTGGCTCACTGCAACCTTCGCCTCCCGGGTTCAAGCGATTCTCCTGCCTCAGCCTCCTGAGGAGCTGACACTACAGGCATATGCCACCACACCCGGCTAAATTTTTTTGGATTTTTAGTACAGACAGGGTTTCACGGTGTTAGCCAGGATGGTCTCGATCTCCTGACCTCGTGTTCCACGTGCCTCAGCCTCCCAGAGTGCTGGGATTACAGGCGTGAGCCACTGTGCCTGCCTCCCTGAGAATTTTAAAGGCCCTGCTCAATTGTCTCCTATCTTCCAAAAGTCTGATTCATTCTGATTTTTTTTTCCCATTATGATTTGACCCTTTGTATAATGACTTGTTTTCCCTCTGGTAGCTTTCCATTTTTCGTGTTTTTTTTTCTTTTTGAGACGAAGTTTCACTCTTGTTTGTTTCCCAGGCTGGAATGCAATGGCACAATCTTGGCTCACTGCAACCTCCACCTCCTGGGTTCAAGCAACTCTCCTGCCTCAGCCTCCTGAGTAGCTGGGATTACAGGCACCTGCCACCACGCCCAGCTAATTTTGTGTGTGTGTTTTTGGTAAAGGCAGGACTTCTCCATGTTGGCCAGGCTGGTCTCAAACTCCTGACCTCAGGTGATCCACCTGCCTCAGCCTCCCAAAGTGCTGGGATTACAGGCGTGAGCCACTGCGCCTGGCCAGCTTTTGCTTTTCTTTGTCTTTAATGTTCTGAAAATCCACTATGATGTGACTTGGGTATTTGCTAGACACTTTCTTTTTTATTTTCTTAAAGAAAGGGAAGGGAGTGGAGGGCTAGACACTTTCAATCTAGGAAATTTTCTTGAATTAATTTATTGATGCCATCCTCCCCTCAGTTTTCTCTGTTCTGCTTTTCTAGAGCTTCTGTTAGTTAGACATTGGAACTCTTGGACTATTCTTCAGTTTTTGTGCCTTTACTCTCCTTTTTTTTTTTTGAGACAGAGTCTCTCTCTGTTGCCCAGGCTGGAGTGCAGTGACATCATCTCGGCTCACTGCAGCATTGACTTTTGTGGGCTCAAGCAATCCTCTCACCTCAGCCTCCAGAGTAGCTGGGACCATAGGCATGCATCACCATGACTGGTTAATTTTGTATTTTTGTAGAGATGAGGTTTCACCATGGTTCCGCTAATCTCAAACTCCCAAGCTCAAGGAATCCACCCGCCTCAGCCTCCCAAAGTACTGGAATTACAGACATGAGCCACCACGCTCAACCTGCTCTCCTATTTTCTATCCTTGCCTTTTTTGTTCTGAACGGTTTCTTCAGTGATGTCTTTGTGTTGAGTTGTTTGGTTCTGCTATCAAAATATATGTGTTTCTAGAGTTCTGTTCATTTTTAAATTGGTATTATTGACTCATTTAATGTATCAAACAATACAGAAACTAGAAAATATAAATACTTAGGTTAGAAGGAATTTTCTGACAGAGAACATCAGTTGACCTGCTTCATAAGTTGTAACCTCAAGCCAGAGAAATTCACCTAAAATATACACAATTTTATTGTATCAATTTTTAGTGTCTATAGAGGTTATGTCATATCTCTCTTTTTTTATTGCTCCTTTTTACAACTTTATGTCTTTATCTGTAAGCCTCTTTTTTTCTTTCATAATAAATGCTTTCTTGAATTTCTGGCGATACTTGGCTATCTTCTCCTATTTAGAAACGGCACTTGGAGGCTGAGGCAGATGGATCACGTGAGGTCAGGAGTTCGAGACCAGCCTGGCCAACATGGTGAAACCCCATCTCTATTAAAAATACAAAAAGTAGCTGGGCATGATGGCATGCTCCTGTAATTCCAGCTACTCGGGAGGCTGAGACACGAGAATTGCTTGAACTCAGGAGGCAAATGTTCTAGCCAGCCAAGATTGCACCACTGCACTCCAGCCTGTGTGACAGAGTGAGACTCTGTCTCAAAAAAAAAGTAAAAGGGGGCTCTAAAAAGCAAGTTGAGAGTTGTGCTTGTGGGTGAAGTTTATGGACTGTGGCCTTCAATATGGAGTGATCTTCATGAGTTGTTCCCTTGGGATACAGCTGATATTGTTTCTTTGGGCATTTTATCTTGGTTGGTCAGATCCTGTTGGTAAATTTTAAATTTTGCAGTGTTCATTTTTAATTCAGTTTTAAATTTTGCACTGTTCATTTTCTGCCACTTTTTTGCAATTTCCAGGTGTGTGCAGTCTTAGGATTCTTATAGATTAAAATATCTTCTCTAGGTCTCTGCTTCTTCCTTTAGATGTCTTTTTGACTCTCCTACACATTCTGATCTGCTTCCATGACAATGAACAGTTTTGACTGACTTTTTAAAAAGTAAACAAGAATCAGTGGGAGCAACCACGAGACACCTAGAGTACAAAGTGGGAGTCACTTTCAGTGCCTTATTTTTCCTTAGTCATATTTGATCAGAAATTGGATGAACCTTCGGGATGCTGAAACAGGGAAGATACTCTGGCAAGGAACAGAAGACCTGTCTGTTCCTGGTGTGGAGCATGAAGGTACTTTCCAACCCTTTGTCTATACGGGGCCGTCACCAATGCCAGACTAGGGCCTGGGCATCAGAGAGCTAAGTTAACACATACCTAATAGGCTGGTGAGCCCCTCAAGACACAGCATGTTAATCCATGTGTTGTTGACAGTTTCAGTTACTTTCTTTTTTTTTTTTTTGAGACACAGTCTCACTCTATCCCCTAGGCTGGAGTGCAGTCACACAATCTTGGCTCACTGCAACCTCTGCTTCCTGGGTTGAAGCGATTCTTCTGCTTCAGCCTCCCAAGTAGCTGGGACTACAGGCGCATGCCACCACGCCCAGCTAATTTTTGTATTTTTAGTAGAGACGAGTTTCACCATGTTGGCCATCCTTGTCTCGAACTCCCGACCTCAAGTGATCTGCCCGCCTCAGCCTCCTAAAGTGCTGGGATTATAGGCGTGACCCACCACGCCCATCCCACTTCCCAAAACCCCACTTTGTGCTGAAATTTTACCATTAGGACGTATCCAAAGATAACTAAGATCTCAGCTTTTTTCTCCAAAAGAAAATTTTTCATTTTTATCTCCCTCAAATAAAAGAAGGGGTTAAAATCACCAGAAGAGAGTAGAGAGAAGGTACCTATGCAGCCTCCTTCCTGATGAGAGTAGCTAGATGAGGCCCTTAAATGAACAAAATGTGGTGTTCTGTGAAGGTCTAGTATCTTTCAGTTACAGGTGACCAATTGGAGACCTCTGCCTTCAGCCATACAAAGTGTAATGCAGTTACCAAGGCATTATCCAAAATGTAATAAATAAAGTGTTGTCTAAATCAGCTGTAAGAAACTCCCAGAAATCTGAAGCATCATAGTCAGGTGGTTTTCATTTAGAATGGCTTGAACATTTGTTTCTCTCTTATCAGCCCGTGTTCCCAAGAAAATCCTCAAGTGCAAGGCAGTGTCTCGAGAACTGAATTTTTCTTCAATAGAACAAATGGAAAAATTCCGCCTGGAACAAAAAGTTTACTTCAAAGGGCAATGCCTAGAAGGTATTCTGCTGCCTACATGCCTGAAATCAGGGCTTAGGGCAACCAGGACAAAAGGCACACCAGTGAACTAAAGCAGTGCTTTGATAACTCCTTTTACAACTCAGTTTGTGGTAGGATTCCTACACCCTGCAAGACTGGGGATCCCCAGTGAAAACAAACCAAAACAACGCTGGCCAATACAAGGGGCTTTGAGGTCTCTGACACTAGGAGCATGGGTGGTGCCTGGTTTAGGCACTGACGTTGTATTGTGATACGGTCATGGAGGAAGCTGCTGTGAGCAGGGCCTAGTACAGTGCTCTACATACAGTATCATACAGATTTGACTGGCAAGGCCACTCTGCATTGACTTCTCACCAAGCAGTGTAAGAGGGCACATATGCCCCTTTGAGCTAATTCCAGGTGAATTTAGCTATGTATCTATGTATAGTTCACATCTAGCCTACATCTAAGAAAATGCTGCTTATATTGTATCCTGCTTGCTGGTCCTAGTCCTTTAGACCTCAAATCAGGAGAAGCAAGCCTTTGGTGTGGTTCAGACGACAACCTAAAGGAGGCTTCCCTGTCTTTCTTTATGCCTCTGGTCTGGGAGGTTGCTGATAGCTTCCTTTGTTGGTTTTCATGGTAGAAAGAGGTTCACTCTAGAGGAGGGAAACAAAGAGCCCTTAAACTTTATACTGGGGCACCTGCTCACCCAGGCTTTTCCTTCTTCCTTCAGAATGGTTCTTCGAGTTTGGCTTTGTGATCCCTAACTCCACAAATACCTGGCAGTCCTTGATAGAGGCAGCACCCGAGTCCCAGATGATGCCAGCAAGCGTCTTAACGTGAGTGAGCAGGTCTCAGGAAATTATGAAGTGTGTCTAGAAACAGGCATTCCAGGCAGGTGGGACTCCTGATGCCATTCAGTGGGCAGAGAATTCAGCTGAGAAATAGAGTAAAAGGAGCATCCAAGGGTATCTAGGTTTCCAGGTTCCTGACCTTTTTCATATGAAAAAGACAGTGTGATAGAGTGGAAAGTATAAAAAAAACCTTTAGACCAGGTTTAAATTCCTGATTCACCCTGACTACCTGTGTCATCTTGGGCACTAATATACTTTATTTCTCTGAGCCTTAGTCTTTAATCTCTAAACACAGAATTAATAATTCTGTCTTACAGAGGTGTAATGAAGATAAAATGAAATGACATGAAAGGAGACTGCCTTTAATATATACCAAATCTATGTTAATTTGCTCTCATTCCTGATTATCATACTTCTGGTACTTCTGTATTTTGTTTAGATCACCTTTAACAGAATCTGGCAAAGTCCTATTAATAATTCTGTTTTCCCTAGCACTTTGGGAGGGTGAGGCGGGTGGATCACAAGGTCAAGAAATCAAGACCATCCTGGCCAACATGGTGAAACCCCATCTCTACTAAAAATACAAAAATTAGCTGGGCATGGTGGCATGTCCCTATAGTCCCAGCTACTCAGGAGGCTGAGGCAGGAGAATCGCTTGAACCTGGGAGGCAAAGGTTGCAGTGAGCCAAGATTGCATCACTGTACTCCAGCCCAGCGACTGAGCGAGACTCCATCTCAAAAAAAAAAATTAAACTTTTGAGTATAATACTTGGTTACAGTTTTTTGGCGAATAGCTCACCATATTTATAGCTTTACTTCCTCTTCAAAGAATAATTTGTTTGTCCTTTGTCCAAAAATACTGTCAATAACTTCTCACCTCCCATTTTCTGTGGGAAGGATGTTAGTCTCTCAAATGTTACAGTAATAGTACTTTCTAAAGAGTTAGTTCCAAGTTAACTCTTGGCGTGATGGCACATGCCTGTAATCCCAGCTATTCGGGAGGCTGAGGTAGGAGAATTGCTTGAACCCGAGAGGTGGAAGTTGCAGTGAGTCAAGATTGCCCCACTGTTCCAGCCTGGGTAACAGAGTGAGACTCTGTTTAAAAAAAACAGTAGGCCGGGCACGGTGGCTCACGCCTATATCCCAGCACTTTGGGAGGCCGAGGCGGGTGGATCACGAGGTCAAGAGATCCAGACCATTCTGGTCAACAAGGTGAAACCCCATCTCTACTAAAAATACAAAAATTAGCTGGGCATGGTGGTGCACGCCTGTAGTCCCAGCTACTCGGGAGGCTGAGGCAGGAGAATTGCTTGAACCCAGAAGGCGGAGGTTGCGGTGAGCTGAGATCGTGCCATTGCACTCCAGTCTGGGTAACAACAGCGAAACTCTGTCTCAAAAAAAAAAAAAAAAAAAAAAGAAAAAACCAGTTAGTCCCACAGATAATTGTGTAATATTGGATCATCTCTTTCAACAGGTCCTTTATGAAAGCCATATTGAATCTGTTAAATTGAGGTTATTTACTTTTAGGCTTTTTGTTTTTTGGGTTTTATTTGTTTATTTATTTATATTTTTTAGAAACAGGGTCTTACCATGTTGCCCAGGCTGGACTCCAACTCCTGGGCTAAAGTGATCTTCCTGCCTCAGCCTCCTAAGTAGGTAGGACTACAGGCATGTGCCATCATGCCTGTCTCTACTTTTTAAGTTTTTGGGGTTTCTTTTTCTTTTTTTTTTTTTTTGAGACAGAGTCTCTCTGTTGCCCAGGCTGAATTGCAGTGGCTCAATCTCAGCTCACTGCAACCTCTGCCTCCTGGGTTCAAGTGAATCTCCTGCCTTAACCTCTGAGTTGCTAGGATTACAGGCACCCACCACCACACCCAACTAATTTTTGTATTTTTTTAGCAGAATTGGGGTTTCGCCATGTTGGCCAGGCTGAACTCCTGAAGGTCTTGAACTCCTGACCTCAGGTGATCTACCTGCCTTGGCCTCCCAAGGTGCTGGGATTGATTACAGGAGTGAGCCACTGGACCCAGCCCCTTTTTAAGTTTTTAATAGTTTTTTTAATAGCCAGATGTGGTGACACTTGCCTATAATCCTAGCTACTTAGGAAGCTGAGGCAAGAGGATTGCTTGAGTCCAAGAATTTGAGATTAGCTTGAGCAACAACATAGCAAGACCCCATCTAAATTTTGTAATAGAGGCAGGGCACTATGGATCACGCCTGTAATTCCAGCACTTTGAGAGCTGAGGCAGGTGGATAATGAGGTCAGGAGACTGAGACCATCCTGGCTAACACGGTAAAATCCTGTTTCTACTAAAAATACAAAAAATTAGCCTGGCATGGTGGCACGTGCTTGTAGTCCTAGCTACTCAGGAGGCTGAGGCAGGAGAATCTATTGAACCTGGGAGGCAGAGGTTGCAATGAGCCAAGATTGCACCCCTGCACTCCAGCCTGGGTGACAAAGCAAGACTCTGTCTCAAAAAAAAAAAAAAAAAAAAAAATTGTAATAGAATTTTTTTAAAGTTTTAATAGTTTTAAAAGTAGATTTTTAATTACAATGGTAGCTACTTTTATATCCTATCAGCCAGTCAGATTTTGAGTACCTTATTTACCTGTTTTATAATTAATTACCAGCAGAAATGTATCTGCTGGTAATTAATTACCCTGGGAAAGTATAGCAGTTTATGAAAGCAGGGTTTTTTTTTATTTTATTAAACTTCATTTGACTACTTCTTCAGCAGGCCTGATTTTTTTTTTTCCACTTTTATTTTATTTTATTTTTTTTGAGACAGAGTGCTCTGTCACCCAACCTGGAGTGCAGGGGCACGATCTTGGCTCACTGCAACCTCTGCCTCCCAAGTTCAATCAATTCTCCTGCCTCAGCCTCCCGAGTAGCTGGGATTATAGGTGCCTGCCACAATGCCCGGCTAATTTTGGGGTTTTTTTAGTAGAGATGAGGTTTCTCCATATTGGTCAGGCTGGGGCCAGGTCTGATTTCTTTCAGGTACTAAAACCATTAAGTCTGTGATAACATTTTTAGGTTAAGTCATATCATACTTTTTAGAGCCCCCCCAAAATAGTGCAGGTACCCCTCAACTTATAGTGGGGTTACATCCTGATAAACCTATCATAAGATGAAAATATCATAAGTCAAAAATGCATTTAGCATCCTCATAAATCCACTATAAAGTTGAAAAATTGGCCAGGTGTGTTGGCTCATGCCTGTAATCCAAGCACTTTGGAGGCCAAGGCGGGCGGATCACCTGAGGTTGGGAGTTTAAGACCAGCCCAACCAACATGGTGAAATCCCATCTTAAAAAAGAAAAATCATAAGCTGATTCATTGTAAGTAGGGGACTAGCTATACTTAACTTTGTAGAACCCCTAAAAACAGTTGCCCTAAACTCAGTTCAAGTGTAATTTGGTAAGGTTATAGTCTCTCCCATTTTACAAATAGGAGCACTGAGATACCCACCAAGAAAAATAAAATTCTGCCTACACAATGCAGGTGCATCGCTTAGTGTTCTTTAGTTGTAAATCATAGAAACACGCTCTGGCTAATACAAAAGTTGAAAGACAGGGGGAGACCTGGGGTGGCTTGGAAGATGCAGGGGACAGGAAATCCTGGATGGCTTCCTCCAGGAGCAACTACAGCAAGGATCTTGCTCAAGCGAAAGAGTCTGATTGGGCTAAGTTACATACTCTGTTCACCCTTTTGCCAGGTGAGTGAGGGGCCACTCACTTGGCATATGGACTGGAGGAAGGGTAGTTCCTAAATGAAGAGCAAGGTGCTGTTACCCAAAGGCAGAAAAATAGATGCAGGCCTGACCAAAGCCCACCTTTCTACTATAGTGAGTACTGTAGCGAAGGTTACTGCTCCTGAGGTCTGCAGGCTTCTATGTGTAAACAAGCCAGAGGTGTCCATGAATGCAGTATCAGAAAGTCAGTCGGATCTATAAGCACCCTGTGTGCAGAGCACTCTACTAAGGGCTTTAGAGTGTACCAAGGAGTGGAGAAATGCTCTCACTTCTGATTTGTGAGCTTGACAGGTATGAATCCAACAACGTAAGTTAAATGTCACATTAGACTTGTAGCCCATATAGACAGGGATTTTAATGTCCCTAAGCTAAGGCTCTGGGTGGGTGCATGTCCATTGGCCTAGGAATCCAGATAGAAACCACTTTGTGGAAATGAAATCCTGTGCCTAACATGCTCACTGTCTTTCTTTTGCCCTCTGTTTCTCGTCTTACTTACAGTGGGAACGTTATCATAGAAACAAAGTTTTTTGACGACGATCTTCTTGTAAGCACATCCAGAGTGAGACTTTTCTATGTTTGAGAGAAGAATATGTGTGCATTTCAAGAATTTGGGTTTTTTTGGAGGGAGGAGGAAACCGTTTACTTTTTTCCTCCACACGTTTGATTTTTGACAATTCCACCCCTAATTCCCTCAACAGCAGAACCTACCTGCAGCCACCAGGGGACCAGCTCTGTGTAGGTAACCAGATGGCTCTTTTTCCCAAGCCGCCATCTTCCAGCTGACCAGACTAAACTCCCAACCCCAGACCAGGGCAGGGGACAGGTCTCAAGTCCTTCCCAGTGTACACACAGGGAACAAATACCACAAACCAATAACTGTACCTGTCACCCTTCCTGACTCCTCCTTGGGCCCTACAGGCTACACATCTACCTTTGGCCCCTGGTTTTTGGAAAAATTCCATGTTCCTGACCCATGTTTAGTTTTTTTTCCTACCATTTCTATTTCATACATTCTCATACATTTAACTTGTAAAATAGACTGTGATATTATTATTACATAATGTAATTAAAAATATGAATTAAAATATTCCTACAGTCTTTAGCATGGCACTGCTTTTATCTCTCCTTTTTCTGGAAAGTGAACCTGGCCGCATGATGGGAAGAAACCAAATATAAAATCCCAACTGTATTTTACTCCAGGAATGGAACTGATAGATCTTGTTCCTGAGTGCCACAGTTACTGCTTTCCAAAATTGTGCAACAGACTTGAACCAAACCCGTGACCTTAACATATTTGTCTTTTAGACACAATTATTTTTTTTTTAAGCCGGGGTTTCACCATGTTGTTCAGGCTCATCTTGAACTCCCGACCTCAGGTGATCTGCCCGCCTTCGCCTCCAAAGTGCTTGGATTACAGGCATGAGCCACCATGCCCAGCCTAGACACAATTTTTAATGATTCTTTTCCACAACATACATGCACCCTTTGTTTGTTTATTGTTGTTAACTTTTTCTGTTTGTTTACAGTATTCATTTGTTCAAGAAGTTTCCAGAAAGGGCAGTTCTAAATTGATAGAGTAGGGACTCTTGTATTCCTAAATGAGACTAGAAGCTACAAAATGAGATCTCCATGAACCTAACTGGAGAACAATGGGAAGGCGTCTGGGCTGGGAGGAGGCTGGGAGGCGTTTAAGACTGCTGTCTTTGGAAGCCAGTGTGGGAGAGGAGGGATTACAACTGGCAGTGTTTTCAGGTCTGACATAAGAGAGAACACCAAAAAGTGTTCTTACCTCTGAGCTACCAGTAGCCTTCACTCTTTTTTTTACTGTTGTTTTGAGACAGTCACTCTTGTTGCCCAGGCCGGAGTGCAGTGGCGCAATCTTGGCTCACTGCAACCTCTGCCTCCTGGGTTCAAGCAATTCTCCTGCCTCAGCCTCCCAAGTAGCCCACCACCACGCCTGGCTAATTTTTTTGTAATTTTAATAGAGATGGGGTTTCACCATGTTGGCCAGGCTGGTCTCGAACTCCTGACCTCAGGTGATCCACCCACCTCAGCCTCCCAAAGTTCTGGGATTACAGGTATGAGCCACTGCTCCCAGCCTTCCTTTACTGTCTTTTATAAAATATCAACAATTACATGTTTTCCGGTTATCAAAGCAATAAGGTCTGAGGCCAGAGGACAGAACACACCAGAGGTATCTCTCTTTGCTGTGGCTCTTGCTCTCAGATTTCTGTTTACCTTTTCTGTCGATTATCTGAGTCTGTTTGCATCTATGGGTAGGGAGGAGAAACGGTACATTTTTAATGTACCAGCACCAACTTTCAATCATGATTCAATTTCTCATATTAGATCTGTTGTCTTCAAAAGCTATTTTTTAAATACCAAAGGTTGGATGGAAAAACAATGTGAGCCAGGCATGGTGGCTTATGCCTATAACCCCAGCACTTTAGGAAGCCAAAGCAGAAGGATTGCTTGACCCCAGGGGTTCAAGACCAGCCTGGCAACAATGGTAAAACCCAGTCTCTACAAAAAAAAAAAAAAAAATACATAAATTATCCAGGCATGGAGATGTGTGTCTGTAGTCCGAACCACCTGGGAGGATGGGGCAGGTGGGTTGCTTGAGCCCAGGAGGCAGAGGTTGCAGTGGGTTGAGATCATGCCACTACACTCTGGCCTGAGTGACAGAGCAAGACCCTATTTCAAAAAAAAGAAAAGAAAACATAACCAGGTGTGATGGCGGGCACCTGTAATCCCAGCTACTCAGGAGGCTGAGGCAGGAGGAATTGCTTGAACCAGGGAGGCGAAGGTTGCAGTGAGCTGAGATTGTGCCACTATGCGCCAGCCTGGGCCACAGAGCAAGACTTCATCTCAAAAAAAAAAACAAGGTGAAAATGAATTGCTTTATTATTTATTTATTTATTCTTTTTTTGAGACGGAGTTTCGCTCTTGTTACCCAGACTGGAGTGCAATGGCGCGATCTCGGCTCACCACAACTTCCGACTCCTGGGTTCAAGCAGTTCTCCCGCCTCAGCCTCCTGAGTAGCTGGGATTACAGGCACGTGCCACCACGCCCAGCTAATTTTTTTGTGTGTTTTTAGTAGAGACGGGGTTTCCCCTTGTTGACCAGGATGGTCTTGATCTCTTGACCTCGTGATCCACCCGCCTCAGCCTCCCAAAGTGCTGGGATTACAGGCTTGAGCCACCACGCCCGGCTTATTTATTCTTTTTAGAGACAGAGTCTCTCTCTGTCATCGGGGCCAGAGTGCAGTGGCATGATACTAGCTCACAGGAGCCTCGAACTCCTGGATTCAGGGGATCCTCCCACCTTAGCCTCCCAAGTAGCTGGAGCTACATATGTGCGCCACCATGCCCAGCTAATTTTTAAAAACTTCTTTGTAGAGATGAAGGTCTCACTATGATGCCCAGGCTGGGCTCAAACTCCTGGCCTCAAGAGAAATTCCTGCCTCAGCCTCCCAAAGCACTAGGATTACAGGCATGAGGCACTGCACCCAACCTGAATTACTTCCTTAAAATGCCATCTCTTTTTCTCAGAATGAACCCATCTCCTTCTCTTTCCTAAACCACATCTGCTCCCCAGAATTCCATCAGGGAATGCTCTCATGGGACTGAACTGTAGTGGAGAAAGGACTTCCCAGAGAATGCTTCTCCACTCATTCATCTGGCCAGAACAGGCAGACACGCTTCTTGCTAGCTGCTCTGAGGAAAAAAAAAAAAAGTGTGTGCTTCAGGGACAGTACTAATTGGGGGCTCCAAGTAGGGTGGGTGGGACTTGAACTGTGGAAGGAAGGCTGAATGCTAGGAGGAGAAGGAGGGAATTGGTGCAGGCCTGAGTAAACACAAGCAAAAGCAGAGGACCCTTTTTAAATCAAAGTCACCTCTTGTGTGGTAGGCCTTGATGCAGGCCCAGATGCCTGGAGATGCAGCTTTTTTCTGGATACACTGAAGGCTGCAGAATGTTCCTGGAAAGAGATGTATATAGACCAGGCTTGGCACAGTCTATGTCTACTGATTTTCAAACCACTGATTAGCACCTCTCCACCCCACCCCCCCAGAGATTCTGATTTAGCAGGTGTGAGGCCCAGAAATCTGCACGTTAAAGCCACCAGGTGATTCTGATGCAGGTGTTCTATGGGCCATGCTTTGAGAAATAGTGGTAGAGGCATTTAATATGTGTTAGAGACATAGATGTGCACATGGGGATGCCTGCAGGACAGACCAAGGTCTCCAAGCAGCTTGCTTAAGGAATGGAGTCCCATCTCTGACCTGTGCAAGCTGAGAAAGAGAGTTCAGCTGCTCAGGGTAATCAAGAGGGGCTTAAGAGTTTGTATAGGGTAGGAGAGTGGGAAAGAATCCCAGGCTGCACAGCCTTGGAGAAGGAGACTTGCAAGAAATAATAAGATTTCTATGTAGAGAATTTTTGGTAAGCTTTGCTGTGTAATAGGCAATACACCCTTGCATCTGTACCCCCATTTTGTTTCTTGCCAGTGTTTTGAGTATTGGGCTTTTGTGATGGGGAATGTGATGAAGTACTGAGTCTGGCCCTAGTTGGGCATGAAAGTCTTCCAAAGGGGATATAGCCACACTTACAGGCCTGTTATGCCCACTAATAAGCTGCTGTGCTAGGCACAGGCCTACCTTTACTGAGTTTATCTCTAACAAGAGAATATAACAAATAATTATCAGAAATGCCATAAGAAACCTGGCGCAGTGGCTCACACCTGTAATCCCAGCACTTTGGGAGGCTGAGGCGGGTGGATCACCTGTGAGGTTAGGAGTTTGAGACCAGCCTAGCTAATATGGTGAAACCCTGTCTTTACAAAAACAAATACATATATATACAAAAATTAGCTGGGTGTGGTGACCGGTGCCTGTAATCCCAGCTGCTCAGGAGGCTGAGGCAGGAGAATTGCTTGAACTCAGGAGGTGGAGGTTGCAGTGAGCCAGGATCGTACCACTGCACTCCAGCCTGGATGACAAGAGGGAAACCCCATCTCAAAAAAAAAAGAGAAAGAAATGCCATAAGAGAAATACCTGGTGGAAATCTAAAGGAAAGGGAGATTAGGCTTAAGACAAAATTGGAAAAGCCTTTTCTCTTCTCTGGATCCTTCAACCCTCAGCCCACAAAACATGTTCAAATCACCTTAAAAAATAAATTTCTAAAAATAAGACTTCTCTTCAATCTTGCATGGCCTTCAGCTCCTGCTCTAGTCCTCTTTCTCTGCAGATCCAAACTTGGAATTGTCTTCACTCACGCTTCCCACTCCTCTCATCCACTCCTCAAACACTGCCATCTGGCTCTGGCCCCCACCCCTCTGTTAAGCCCCTTCGAGTCCTTGCTTTATCTGCTGCATCTGATTCTTCTGATGTCAGCTGGGTTTCTCTTCTCCTTGGATTCTGGGAGCCCTTCCTCTGGGTGTTCTGCTCCTTCCTCCTCTGTAGACTCTTCATTTTCTTCCAGCTGCCTTGTCCCAAAAATTTCAGATTTTCTTTTTTAGTTGTAGAGTATTGAGAACATGCTATGTGCCAATTCTTTAAGCATTATACATTTACTCCACACACATTTACTTTTTATATTCCAGACACTGTTCTAAGCAGTGGAGATAACTTGCTAGACAAGATGAGTAAGGTCCCTATTTTCCCATTAGATTTTTTTGTTTGTTTGTTTCTTTTTTGAGACAAGAGTTTCGCTCTTGTTGCCCAGGCTAGAGTGAAGTGGTGTGGTCTTGGCTCACCGCAACCTCCACCTCTCGGGTTCAGCAATTCTTCTGCCTCAGCCTCCCAAGTAGCTGGGATTACAGGCATCTGCCACCACCCACAGCTAACTTTTGCATTTTTAATAGAAATAGGTTTCACCATGTTGGCCAGGCAGGTCTCAAACTCCTGACCTCAAGTGAACCTCCTGCTTCAGCTCCCAAAGTGCTGGGTTACAGGTGTGCACCGCCACGCCCTTACAATCTCCCATTAGATTTTAATGGGAGGAGACAGAAGGTAAATAAATAATTTCAGATCATGATCAGTGTTGTGAAGAAGACAAGACAGTAATGGCAGCATCAATCTGGAGTGAGGGGTGTAGAAACTGAAAAAAC